TTTTTACAATGGAAAATTGTGTGGAGTTTAATGCACGTTAACCCTCAATTTGGAAGTTAAAAATATACTATATTTGCTTACGTACCTAGTAAATTAATTCTTAGCATTTTTATTTAAATCCTTTAGATTTGGATTCGCTCCTTTGTTAATTCGAAACCAAAACTATATTTAATTTTTTAAAATAATTTTTTTTTCAAGAAGAGTTATATGAGGAAGTTCATGTTTGAACCAGCTCTCTAGAGAATAGAGATATATTACTAATATCGACGTTCATGTTTATTTGTATTTTTGGAAAAAAGAAATCCATCAAATTTTAATTAAGTGCTCCATTTAAATCACCCAATTAATGGGATTTTTTGTTTTTTGTAAAATTGAGTCTACTCATTTTTAGTTTGTGGGTATGCCTATCTCACAATAGAAATTTAATTTGATGTGTTACATTAACTTAAACACAAACACCTACTTTAAAAATCCACTTCTCATATGTACCCTATTTTTACATATCTATAATTTTAAACACAAATTACACAAATGTAAGTGTTTGAATTTCAATCAATATTTATCTAAGAACTAAACACTTATTTTATATATATATATATATATATATATATATATAGTTAAATAATTACGGGGTGGAGAATCAAACTATCGACCTTTAATGTAATATCAAGACGTGTCTTATCCATTGGTAAATGAAATCATCCTTATACACACAAGATAGAGGGAAAAAAGAACAGAGAAAATTCTTGAGATGGCAAGGAGAGAAGATAAAATAAAAGGGACCCAATTATTGGAAATAATGATGGATTTGAGAGAAAAAGTAAGAATTTTGTGGATGCACCCAAATGTTTATTGACTTTATGAAGGTCCTCCAAATATTCTTATGTCTAGTGGATGCTTGACAAAGCCATTGATAAGCATTTAATTTTTTCCCCCAATAATGAAATTGTAAATGGAATTTGTTCAACTAATAATAATAATACATTGCTGATGTAGCTTGTGGAGGATGATTTCAGTTTGTCTCTCCAAGTTGCATCCCACCTATGCTCAATGATAATGGGCAAGAAAAATTCAAATGAAATTCCTTTTTTGTGTTGGCTAAAGTGAGGGTGAAAAGAGTTTTAAATCCCTTCTTAATTTCAACCCCCCTTTTTTTTTCCTCTCCTAATTATCTTTAATTAGATGGTGATAGTGGGATTTTAGTTTACCAATTTTTGAAATTATATCATGATTGATGATCAACAAATAATAATAAAATTTTATGTATTTTTAGGTGCCTTGATAATAATAAAGTACACGTGTATGTATGTATATGTGTGTTGGAGTGTAGGTCTTATATTAATTAAAAATGAGTAAGATTCGTGTATATAAAAAAAGATAATTATCTACTTTAGTATAAGACATTTTAGGTGAGAAAAAAAAATAGTAAAAGCCACGAGAACTTACGTCAAAAATAGATGATATCATAATATATATTTTGTGGAAATGTAGAGAGGGTTTGTTATCCTTAACAAATGATATCCGAGTAATGATCTAAACTTAGTCATGTTAGTCAGCCTTATAGTCATATGGAATTGTGGATTAATACTTAAATTAGACAAAAAAAATGTTGTGAGTGACAAACAAGTAGAGCTTGTACTAAGTATAACCAAAGTCCCACTAGAAAATGATTTCATCTTGTTCAAATCGTAATAAAAGTAGTAATTTAGTTATAATTTTTGGTACTTTGATGCTCTTTCATATGAGTTAAATTAATTATAATTTAATCGCTAATATATCTATGTTGATCATCAATAATCATTTTATTCTAATACACCCGTATATTTATTTGCAGTAATAACTACCATTTTTCCCTTACCTATATTTGCAATTATTCAACTTTTAATGGTTTTTTTTTTTTTTTTTTTGTAATTATGCTGAATTTCCAGGTGGTTAGATAAGCTGGGCTCAAGGTACAGTGGCGGAACTCTCGAGCTTGGGTCAGGCCTGATGAGATTATTTGGGCCTTTAGCCCATCTTTGACAACAAATCCAATCCCAAAATCCAGGCCTGGCCCGATAAAATCGTGAGAAATATAAAGAAGATTGACTTTAAGGATCCAAACAAATAACCAATAATAGTATAATCCAAAAGTCACATTCACATCAAAAAAGAAATGTCTCCTTGATATTAAATAATAATTTATTTATTATCAGTATTATCAAATAAATTATTTCAAATCGTCTCTTTAACATTTTATATTTTTACCTTGTATTTAGTTGAGTTAGTTAAACTTCACAACTGCAATTAATTTTAAAAAAAAGAAATATATATTAAATTTATCTTAATTTTTATAAAAAATAACTATTTTATAGAATACTACAGTACAGTCCATAGTTCTTCTGCATAAACTAAACCCAATTTTTGGTCCTAATCTTTGCTTTAATCCTCATTTATTATCAGTGGAGATAAAATCCAATTCGTCAGCGTTTTTTGCTTCAACTCTTACCTTCGACCCGATTGAAGCTTCCGGATCTTCTTCTCCAGTGAGTTCTCTCTCGAATTTCTGTTTACTTGCTTCTCTATTTCAATTGATCAGTTTCTGATGCTTCAATTACTTTCAATTTTGCTGATAAATTTCGAAAACCCCCAATTCCCCTTTCTTGGCAACTTCTTGTTCTATTTAGCTGATTAACTCTGAAATCCACTCCCATGTCCTGTTCTTATCTTCCCATCGGTTCTGCTTTCAGATTTTTATTATAAACCCTTTAATTTTTGTTTGATTTACGGCAGAAACGAACGATTGATTGTTCTAGTAGTTATACAAAATCGAGATGGGTGATTACTTCAGTGTCATAGATCGGAGTGGAGTGAGGTCTAGTAGTGAAGATCTGCTTAGTGCAATTACGCCATTGATGAAGCTTCTCTCGCTCACAGCAATAGGGCTACTTCTTTCTCACCCAAAAGTCCAAATGATTCCAAGAGCAACCCTAAGGCTCCTGAGCAAACTCGTTTTTGCCCTGTTCTTGCCCTGCCTCATCTTCACCCATCTGGGTGAGAGCATCACGCTTCAAAACATTGCTAAATGGTGGTTTATCCCTGTGAATGTTTTGATTAGTACAGGTATTGGGTGCCTTCTAGGGTTCTTAGTGGTGATTCTATGCCGCCCCCCTCCTCGGTTGATGCGGTTCACCGTTATCTCGACTGCGTTCGGCAACACCGGAAACCTCCCTCTTGCCATTGTTGGTTCTGTCTGTCATACTGCTGATAACCCCTTTGGCCAGCATTGTCACTCTAGAGGGGTTTCTTATGTTTCCTTTTGCCAGTGGGTTTCTGTTATTCTTGCTTATACTCTTGTTTATCATATGATGGAGCCTCCATTGGAGTTTTATGAGATTGTTGAGGAGGGCACTGAGATTGAAGAATTGGAACAAATTAGTGACAATGATGCTAGTAAGCCTCTCCTGATCGAAGCTGAATGGCCCGGGATTGAAGAGAAAGAAACTGAGCATTGTAAAGCACCCTTCATTGCTAGGATCTTCAAGAGCATTTCAAATGTTTCCCAGTCAACTTTTCCTGACCTTGATCACTCCAGAGAAAGTAGTACTCCTACGTACCCGGAGTCAATCAGGTGTTTGGCCGAACCAAGGGTTGTGAGGAAGATCAGAATTGTAGCTGTACAAACTCCCCTAAAGCACATTCTGCAGCCACCAACCATTGCTTCTTTGTTAGCCATCATTGTTGGGTTGGTGCCCCAAATCAGAGCATCTTTCTTCGGCCCCGATGCTCCGCTATCGTTCATCTCCGATAGTTTAGAAATCCTAGCTGCTGCAGTGGTTCCTTTTGTGATGCTTATGTTGGGTGGCATGCTTGCCGAGGGGCCTCACGAGTTGTCCACACTTGGCCTACGTACTACAATCGGCATAAGCGTTGCAAGACTCTTTGTCCTCCCTATACTGGGAATCGGGATCGTCGTATCCGCAGACAAGCTGAATTTTCTTGTTGATGGTGATCCAATGTACAAATTTGTGCTGTTGTTGCAGTATACAACACCAACTGCCATTTTGTTGGGAGCAATTGCAAGTTTGAGGGGATATGCAGTGAGGGAGGCCTCAGCTCTTCTTTTTTGGGAACATATATTTGCCCTCCTCTCCCTTTCTCTCTATCTTTTTGTTTACTTTAAGATTGTGATATAATTATGATTTTGCTACCAATTGTACAATTTGTATCAAAGGCTGTTTCCTAATCTTACTTGGCATTTATTTTGAGGCAAATAAATGACTCCTCTCTCTATTGTATCATTCTCAACATACCACTTGCGAGCGAACATTTTTATGTGAATTTGTTTATTCTAAGCTATACATAGCTTGGGAAAATCGCATTTCCACGACCAATTTTGTTTTTTAATCATTCTTCTCAAAACACAAGCTTTCTAGTCATCTAATGATATCGGCTTTTGGTGAAATTACGTATTTATCCTTCTTCTACCTCTCTTCTCTTGTCTCCTTTTTCACTTTTCTCTCTCTTCCCTGTCTTATGTTCTCTTTCTTCCCTCTCTTCTCCCTCTTTTTTCTCTCACGAATTATTTCTGCAATTTCCCATTTATCTTTAGATTTTTTTTTACAGATAGATAATCAAAGATTTCGTTGGATCCTGTATTATTTAGAAAATCCTTTCTTTTCGGTGGATCTAGTATTATTTCGAAAATTGTGGGCAATTTTAATTTGTTTTCCAAATTCCTAGTCTCTTTTATCACCAATTTCCATTGTTGGAATCCCCTTCTTCTCGGGTCTTTTAACGATTTTGTCGGTAGTCAATTCTTTTCTAAAGTGGTCAATTCTCGCTCTAGCTCTCTCTCGCTGAAATTCTCGCTCTCGTCGGATCTCTCGCCCTCTCCCTCCCCCTCTCCTGCTAAAATTCTCGATCTCGCTCTCCCTCTCTCGCTTTCGTCGAAACTCCCTCTCTCCCACCAAAATTTATTTTTAACAAATCTATCCCTTTTATTATCTCTTTGTTTTCAAATTTTTTATTTACAAATTGTTGGTAATTAAATTGAAAAAAAAAATCTAAAGACAAATGAGTCTGCGTTTTTTTTATGAAATATGAGAAAAGATTACAAAAATAATCGAGTACGACAAGGGAGAGGGAGGAGAGAGAAAAGATCAACAAATGCCTAAAAAACTTGTGTTTTGAAAATGGTGATTAAAAAATAAAATTGGTCGTGGGAAACACTTATTTATGGATTTTTCTGTATTACCTTGAATTGATTTTCGTATCCTTAGAAGTGATTCTGAATTATTAATGTTTGGTTTCAAAATTGATTTTAGAAATATCACATCCTTAAAAACGGCTTGAAAATTTTAACTAAACAATTATTTAACTCTTTGTTATGATAAAAAAATTATTTATATAATTAAATATATACACGACCTCATAAAAAAAGAATGAAAAAAACGATGTTTCCAGCTTCTCATTGAGCCGGTCATTTTGACCTTGTTTTATGAAAGGAGTGGACCTTCCTCGAAGGAAAAAAACCTCGAACCGAGGCGGTTGATGGGGAGGCATTTTGCTCGTTACTATCCCATCCCAATGTTCAGACGAACGAATGCTGTTGGGAGAGTGCAGAATAGATTTCATTATATTATAAATAATACCATTTAAATTGATTTATTGTTTTATGAATATCTAACTTTGTTAATTTATTTTGTAATTAGATTAAAAAGATGGGTCATTGCTAGTGCTAAATATTAATACCTTGGGATATCTTTTAGGGCAATTTTGGCATCCTAATTTAATTTTGTGATGTGATTCTTGACCATCAATCCAACCAAAATCACTCCGGAACTCCTAGAATCAATTTAAAAATGATTTTTATTTTTATTAAATCAATTTTATTTGTTTGTTAGACATCATATTCTAAATGACATTGCCAAAACGACCATAGTTCAGTGAAAAATGGTAATTACTGGATAAAAATACTATTAAACGGATCTTAAATTACTTTAAAGAACTTGAGAACAGTTGGGGAATATTGTCAACTATGGTGCTGGTCTCAAAACTTTTCCAAATTTCGGAATTGATTTTCAAGTCGGGTGTACTTTTCCACTGAAAAATATCAAATTTATACCACAAATTTCTGCAGCTCTTTTATGAAAAAACTTTCATCTCTAAGCTCCATCTTTCCCAAATCATAAAAAGAGATGAGATGTTCAAATTCCAATGTGAGAGACAAAAACAAAGCAATTAATTCAAATGATTTTTGGAAGGATTCACAAAATGAGAAAGTGACAATGACTATGCACTATTCAATTTGTTCTTGTCATCATGCCCTACTTCTTCTAGAAGAAACAGACACATTCCTTTCATCATGCATTTCATTATATTATTATTCAAACTTTCTTCTTAATATTCCTATGTTTTAAAGCATATTTAATAAAGTTTCATGTATATAAAAATAAATTTTAAATTAAAAGACCAAATTTAATCTCAAATATTTGAAACTTTTTCAATTTAGTCACTATCGTTTAAAATTTAGTCTTTGTACATTTTAATACTTTTCAAATATACTTTTTTCGTTGGTGAGAGTTAAAATTAGTTTATTATAGACTTACATGGTCGAATTGACAAAAAATAAAATTTGGTCACCTCCAAGGAAAAAAAAGTTGAAATAAGTTAACTTACGTAGAAATTTGAAGGAAAAAAATTTATATATAAACTTTAATCACTTAGATAAACTAATCATTCCTCTAAATTTGAGTATGTTAAGTATTATGTTATTTAAATTTGTTATCGATCATTCTTAAGAACAACTAAATAGTGAGAGAGACTAAATTGAAACTTTTAATAAGGATTAAGTTACAAAACATGACCATATCATCTATTTAGATAATAGAAAATTGAAGTGATTATACTAACCCTTAAAAAATATCATTTCTTAATAATTTATAATTTGTAACAAGAAAAATAGAGCTCCTTGTAGATATGAATTGTTTCCATTTTTGCAAATTCTCTTTCCCTATCACTGTCTCATGTTCGATTCTTAACAAATGTTCTGCCATGGGTGTTAAAAGATACGACCTTGAAAAGAGATGAGACTTTACCATGGTTTATAATAGACATGAGCTACTCCTCTCATTGTCAATTGGTTTTGAGATGAAACCCCATGAATATTAATATAGTATAAGAGCCCAAAAGCTCAAACGACATCCAGTCCAAAAACAGGATCCGATCAAGATCAATATTATCAATATTAATAATGGGCAATACCATCATTTTAGTTATCTTAGATTAAAAAAATTAATAACTAAAAAAATAGTTTTTATTTATTTTTTTTTGATCCAACATGTGAAGGTGGGGGGGATTGAATTCACAACCTCGTGATTGGAGATATATTTCAATTACAGTTAAGCTATGCTCGTTTTGGCTAAGAAGTCGGGTGAGTTTTAAGAAATGTGATAGATATATTAAAGAAATTACGAGGAAGCAAACAACATTTTTTTAAACAAATTATTAAATGGACCTAACATTTTTTCTCTCTAATTTTCATTTCATTTGAGATAGTACCTTCCTTATGAAACTTCTAGCTCCAAATTAACTCTTTGATAAAAGTTTTGTTTGCTAAATCTTCCTTCACCCCGTCCACTGAGGAACCTAAATAGAAATTCTTCATCTGGTTTAGGACAAGGTCGTAGGAAAAATGAACATATCTATTATTGGATTATCCTTTTGAGTTGGATCCATCAATTAATTTCATTCATACATTCTAGTAAATACCATTAAATAGAATAATTTCTTGATTCTTGTTCCTTAAAATAAACAAGGTCTCAATTTATACTAATAAAAACACTCGTCCCATAAAAAAAATGTAAAACTCATCGCAAAAATAGGTCTAAGAATTTTTTTTAGGACAATAAATAAGGATTAAACCTCAAACCTCTTAAAAAAAGAACAAAATGTCTTGAACTATGTTTGCTTTAAAAAAAAAAATCTTTGATACAAAAATGGAAATTGGGACAATTCTCACAATTAAAAGTACAAATGAAGTGGTCCATGGAGACTTTATGAGCAAAATCAATGGATGATGATGCTTAGACAAAGATGCCACAACACCCATTGACTTTCAACCTCATGTACTTCCTTTTTAGTGTTATTACTACCAAATACCCAATATAAGATTATAGCCATTCAAATTCGACTTCATTCCTTCATAATTTCATATGTTCCTCTTAAGAAATATAGATATAGAGGACCTGAATATAACGGGTTAAAGTATCTATGTCCAATTGGAAGGTCGTGAGTTTATCAGCACTTCTATCCACGTTGAAGGCGCATGCTCGATGTCACGGTCGTACATTTTTCAACCGTGCGGCGCCATGATCTAAGCTCGACCATGGCCAGCCTAACGAGGAACTCTAGCTCCAATCCACTTTTCGCGCCCCTTTGTGGCTTCGTCGGACCTTAGGCGAGGTTCTTTCTTCCTCAACCGAGCTTCACTTGCAGCGGAATTCTCACTTGTCTCGGCAATGCACGTCGTCCGTACGTGCATTTAAACTCTAACGCGACTTTAGCCGACTTGCCTCTACGCTAGGCTAA